AACGGTTGATGGGGTGCCAGTTATTCGAGAGTACCTAGACGTATTTCCGGAGGATTTACCCGGAGTGCCTCCGGAGAGGCAGGTGGAGTTTCGGATCGATCTAGTTCCTGGTGCAGCCCCAATAGCCAATGAACCATATCGATTAGCCCCACCGGAGATGCAGGAGTTGTCTACGCAGCTACAATAGCTGTTAGACAATGGATTTATCCGACCGAGTAGCTCGCCTTAGGGTGCACCGTTTCTGTTTGTGAAGAAGAATGATGGGTCGCATCGGATGTGTATTGACTACCGGGAGTTGAACAAGCTAACGGTGAAGAACTGTTATTCACTCCCGAGGATCGATGATTTATTTGACCAGCTTCAGGGGGCGTCTTGGTTTTCCAAGATCGATCTGCACTCGGGATACCACCAGATGAGGGTCGGGGAGGATGATGTGCAGAAGACAACCTTTCAGACTCGTTATGGTCATTACAAGTTCGTGATGATGCCTTTTGGGCTCACCAATGCCTCAACCGCGCTCATGGACCTCATTAATCGCGTGTGCAGGCCGATTTTGGATCGGTCGGTGATAATATTTATTGATGATATCTTGGTCTATTCCAAGACCCATGAGTACCATGAGGAGCACTTGTGAGAGGTGTTGGATACCCTAAGGAGGGAGAGGCTTTATGTGAAGTTCTCCAAGTACGAGCTCTGGTTACGCGAGGTGCAGTTTCTGGGGCACCTTGTCAACCGGAACTGTACGGAACTGTATTCTGGTCGATCCGACCAAAGTGGAGGCCGTGATGAGATTGGAGGTTACAAGGTCTCCATCTAAGATTCGGAGCTTCCTTGGGCTACCTGGATACTATTGGGGATTTATTCAGGCTTTCTTCAAAATAGCAGTACCTCTGACCCGATTGACGAAGAAGACTGTTGTTTTTCGCTAGGGGCCTGAGCAACAGACAACGTTTGAGACTTTGAGGCAAAAGTTATACGAGGCGTCGATTTTGACTCTGCCAGAGGGTGTCCAGGATTTCGTAATTTATTGTGACACGTCTATTTCGGGATTATGCGCGGTCTTGATGCAAAGGGGGTACGTCATCGCTTATGCCTCGAGGCAGTTGAAGACTCACGAGGCAAATTACCCAACACGTGACTTAGAGTTGGGGGCAGTGGTTTTGCGCTCAAGATTTGACGACACTACCTTTTATAGGGTCCGTTGTACTATTTACACGGATCACAAGAGTCTGAGGTATTTGATGGATCAACAAAATCTAAACATGAGGCAGTGTCAGTGGTTGGACGTGGTGAAGGATTATGATTGTGAGATCATTTACTACCCAGGGAAGGCCATGTGGTGGCCGATCTTCTTAGCCGCAAGGCAGTCGCGTCTCTAATCAGAGAAATCTGTCTGAGGATAACAATGGTGACTCCACTCCTGGAACGGATTTTGTATTAAACGGCCTTCCAACATATTACTTTTCATTATTTAAATCACCAAACGGAGTTATTGAAGATCTTGAAAAGCTCAGACGCAGGTTTGTGTGGGGCGGTGACGATACGAAAACAAAAATTCATTAGGTGTCGGTCGAGGGTAATAGCGGATAAAAAAGATGGAGGTCTTGGTGTTGGGTTATTAAAGGCACAATTTCCTTAGTTGTTAAAATGGTTAGAGAAGCTCATAACAATTTCCTAAGTTAAAGTCACAATTTCCATTAAGCATGTAATTAGTGAAAGTCAACTAGCATTAAGAACCAAAAAATCACCAAATCCAAGAGGGGTCAAATGCTTTCACCACCATGTTGGAGGATATGTTTTTATGATTGTGTGAAGCAAAAACAACACAAAAATCATTTGTTGCTTGCTAATTTGAGGATCCTTTACTTAATCAAGAAATTAGCCAACTAATCACCACAAACACATTTAAACTCATGAACTAAAACATACAAGTAGTGATAAGATGTTAAAACACAAAACATTCCCATAAAGATTTAAGAACATATTCATGGATTCTTCAACATTCAACAAAAGTTCAAAGGATTCAACAAAAGTCAACCAAGATTAGTTTAGCCAAGCATGGCTAACTCAAAGAAACAAAGTTAAAGAAGATTGTACCGAACATTAAGCAAGAATCAAGAGGTGAAAAAATGATGTTCTTGAGGTGTTATTAGCCTTTAAAAATCTTTAAAACTCCAGAGAGAATGCTCAAAAATCGGATGTCTAAGAGTATGCAAAAGATGGGTACCAACCTTCCTCAAATAGATCAAAAGAAGAATTTCCGGAATTACCCCTGCAGGAGGTTTCGCGACCCGCGTGCTGTTGCGCGGGTGGTCCCTAGATGTAGCATCTTTGAGGTTTTGGGCCTCCATAGCTTAGCCCACTTGGCCCAGTTCGAGTCCAATCAACTCCTAGCCCATTTTTCTTCAAGTTTTCTTCAATTTAAGCCCAATTTGGCTTCTCCAAATGATTCATAGCTCGTAAACTCGCCCGATTAATAATCTATGCACACTTGAATATACTCCCGCATCTTGCAAATTTAAAGTTTATTTCTCTCCAAGCCTTCAAATAACCATCAAGTCGCTCCATGCATCATCCCCACTACCCATCAAGCGTAAGATCCTTGTTGTCTATCAACTCCCATCACTTTCCATACGTCCCGAACACTCCCGCTTCGCTAGACCCGAAAACCTGCAATTATGCTCACAAGATTTGAAAGTACCCGAAATAGTCATAAAATAACAAAAGGAAAAGTATGCATGGAAATTAACTAGATTATGGATGAAATATGCTAAAATAAACTATAAAAAGAAGTTAATAAAATGAAACTATCACCTGTGGATATAGTGAGGATAACTCACTTGCAACTGCCAACTTGAAGAAATAAGAACACGCTGCTCCGACCACCAGCACGAACTCCACCACTGATCATTACCAAATAACCAAAACCAATAAACACCATTAATTACCAATATACCCTTGGAAGTCAAACTGGTCAACCCTTGGTCAAAGTCTAAGTCCTCAGTCAAAGTCGAACTCCCTGACTGCTTTTACTCGCCAAGTCCACCCGATGAGTCGTCGAGCCCCCATGATCTGAGAACTCCCATATCGCGACTCAACTCGCCGAGTCGCCCCAAGACTCGCCGATTCCTCGTTCAACCAGAAAAGGTTAGGACTCCTCGACCAGACTCGTCGAGTCCAAGAACAGACTCGTCGAGTCCAAAGCAATATTCACCAGACTCGCAGAGTTGTTCTTCCAACTCGTCGAGTTCCTTCCCATCCTCATACAACTCACCGAGTCTACCCATGTGACTCGCCGAGTTACTATGCGACTCAAGACTGATATCAAGCCCGACTAGCCGAGTCATCTCCCAGACTCGCCGAGTCCATACGTAATATCTTCATTCAGACGATCACAGGCCATTCCATTGCTTCCAATACATAGATATGGACTCCTAGGGCCAGATTCACACCTAAAGTTTCCAATTTTACGTGCATGCAAGGCTCAACAAGCTCTAATCAAACTAAAATGGAGGTTTAAGGCAAGGACACTCTCAATCAAGCCCCAAAGCTATCACTTCCCAGGTTCATGAGTCAAGACCAATCTAGATCTTTAGTAGCAACCACAGATCTGAGCCCAATACTCGAAAAGAGACTCATATATGACAATTTGGCCCTAAACTTCATCCATGAACAATCTAAGCACAACAAGGTCAAGGCAACAACTTTTTACATTTAATCTGATGCCAACAAGCAAGGAAATCAGATCTACTTCGTTCCTCTATGATCCCACCAACTCTTGCTTCAAGTATCCTTCTCCAAGCTCCAAAACATACTTAGATCCTTCTCACTCTCAAATTAGGGTTTGGAATCGATGGGGGAAAGCTTCTGGACGTCAAAGGGAGTGCAAAAGAGGTCGGGGTGAGTTATAAGGTGCTTTATATATGGCACAACCCCCAGATTAGGGTTTTCTTCCTTCAACACCAACCCGCCGAGTCCAGCCGCCGACTCGCCGAGTCGGTCACTTAACACCTGACCAGAGATGCGACCCGACTCGCCGAGTCTATCCATCGACTCGCTGAGTCGACCTTCCATACTTACACTTAGAACCCTGAACTTGTACTTCTGAACTCGGGGTGTTACAAACTTGGATCGGGTAATATTGTCTAACATTTTGGTATTGAAATTGTAGTGGAGATTGAATGGGAACATCGAGTTTGGGGCGATAAACTTCTTGTGATGATGAATCGATATCAATAATGTTTCGAGTAAGGGTGTTTAAACTCGAACTATGACTTTTTTTTCTTCGATCGGAAGTTGGGGTTTGATTGTCAGGATTCATTTTTTAAGAAGAAAATGGAGGGAATAGAGAGTTTGTTTGAATGTTGATTGAAGGTAAATAGTTGGGTATTTATAAATGTTTAAAAAGATATAAAAAATAAAAATAAAAATTTGACTTTTAATGCATATATCCATTAGTAAAAATAAAGATTTTTTTTACCGTTAAACAATGGCAATTCAAAAATAAAAGAAAAAAAAATCCGCAAAATAATCAACGGAGAGAGAACGCGGCAAACCATCCCCTCTTCGGTTCCCGCACCACCGGTTCCCGCACCGACGGTCCGATGTTCCGTCGTGCAGGAATAGTCTCGCTCCTCTTTCCCGTGATGTTTCCGTTCGCCTTAGCCTTACGAATTTCAGCCACCAGAAACCTGGAAGGATAGCCGAAATTCTCAAGTTCCCTCCAGAGGATTAGTTTTTTTTTCACACTTCGATATAACTTACATACTTATTTTTTAAACAAACATAGTTCTAAATGTTATTTCAAATGGAAAAACAAAAGTATTTGAAGCAAATTTAAAGTGGGTGGTTATAGGTTTTTAATGTGATTTTTAAAAATAAATGTATTTAAGATATCACAAAAAATTGTCAATGAAAAAGTAACCATATTACGTACTGTATCCGTACTATAATTAAAAAAGAGAACATACAAACTAACAACAAATAAAAACTAAAACTTTCGAGACTTTTAATATAATACCAAAATTTATTAAAATCAATGCCTTGCTAAATAGAAAATGATCTTTCACTTGAAATAGGTTTAAAAAGAGAGAAAAATGTAGCCTACTTTAAAAAAAAAAGCTCTTAATGCATAAATGCATATTGTTATCACTTAACATAAAAAAAATAAACACCATTATATACAATGTTGGTAAAAGGAGGTTTGTGTTATCAATCTCAATCCCTACTTTCCCTCTCTTTCTTGTCCATACCCACGCCACCCGTTACACCAACTTCAGCTGGTCGTATGATTCGTTCATGCAACATGTATCCCCCCTGCAAAATTTACAAAAAAGTCCCTATATTTTGATCTGTATCCATATAGAATCCGTGTGAAACCATTATCTTTTTCTATTAAACCATTAATAACTGTTTGACTTAGGTTGTGTTTGTGTGTGTCAGACTAGCTGAAAAGTTAGCTGATAAAAAGCTAGCTGATAGCTGATAAAGTACTAATACTAGGAAAAAATTAGCAGATAAGCTAGATGACAAATGTAAAATAACATAATTCGTTATGCTTTTCTGTATTTTGCTCTTTGACAAATATGTATGCCAAAATTACCTAATTATTACTTAACATTTAACAATCACTTTGCAAGATTCCCACATTTTGTTAGCACATTCTAATTATTTAATTAATTGTCAAGCATTTATATAAACTACATATTAAGTCAAACATAACAATTTTTAATTAAAGTTAAGCCAGAATACCTTCATTACAACTGCTACAGTATTTGGAGGCTTGGAAGAATCCTGCACTTGAAAAACTGCATTGTGTCTATTTGGATCAAATTCTTCATTCACAGGATCATATTTTTCTACTCCAAACTTCTTGAATACCTGTTAAATACAGAAAAAAACACAACTTATACACCATTTTATCAATTTAACCACTTAACTATTGTTTGTATGAAAATTAATCATAGTGGTTACCATTTTAGTTTAAGAAAACAGACAAACAGTTACCTCTGCTAGCTGTTTTTCTGTCATCTCAACACCTTCAAGCAATGTTTTTAAAAGTGATAGAGCTCCAGTAGGGTCTTCACTTGTGTCCATTTTTGTAAATTTGTCTTTAACAATCATTGAGGCCCTACCAAGATTATCTGCAACATCCAGCAAGCTCTTTGCAAATGACTGCAACATGTAAATTGTAATCAAATTAAACGACACTAAAAAAAACTAGAATTATTTTTAGAAGAAACACACAGGAAGATCAAGAAACACCTGTATGGCGAACTTTTTTGAATTTTCTGCTTCCCGTTTTGTCCTTTCAATAATATTATTATTTTCAGCATAACTCATCAGGAATTTCTCTTGCATAATCTCCATTTCCCTGTGCTTTTTCTTAAGAAGTTCTTTCTTTTTTGCTAGAAGAGTTACTAATTCGTCCCTGGATAAGTTGTTTTCAGAATCTGAATCTGAATCAGAAAATTTAGTTCTTTTAGTACCTCTTCTCCTTTTTTTGACAGATTGGGATACATCAGTGGCACCCGAATCCACTTTCTTGTCAGGATGTTCTGTTTGAGAAGCGTTATTTGTCTCCATAGTAGCTTCTGGCTTATTCGCAGGTTGAGCAGTCTCATTTTCATTAGTTTGAGAAGATGCAAATGAGAAAAATTTACACTGTTGAATAGAAGAAGCAATAAGAGAATTATGGAACATAGACGTTTGGTTTGTTACCACCTGTAACAAGCAACAATGGAAATCTTCTGTGATTCGATTGACATACAAAACTCAAATTTCATACAAACACGGTTACAGTCGATGAATACCTACCTGACTCGCGTTAAACGGCAATTGAACGAAACGATAGCTGGAATGAAGATGGCGAGATTCTCCATAGCACCTCAATATACTCAAATTCACTTGTTTCTTCCTCCATATCTCTGAAACGAATGCACAAGCTCCTACAAATTCAACAAAAAGAGCTGCATTTCAGAATCACTTAAAGAAATAAAAACAACGAGTTAACTGCAGCTTTCTGCAATTAAGAACAGTGAGTACTCATTTGATCGGAGACAGGGCTTCCACGTTCAAGTAGAAATGTCTTGAAAAAGGAATTTAGGGTTTATGCAAAAACGGAAAAACCCCGTATCCCCGCATCAATTTTGGTGGTAAGGCCGCTCCCAACGACGACGTATTGGGACATTCGATTCGATATCTCCTGCCTCAACTTTGGATATTTTTCACAAAAGCCTCTGAAGTTTTGTATATTCGAATTTAGTTTCCTATATATGATAATGATAATGATAAAAAAATAATATACGACGAATACATATGATAATAAAAAGTAATAATAATACAAACTTATCCATCAATTATTATATGTTTAGATGTTTAGATATCTAGCAGTTTCATTTATTACAAAAAAGTTATCTGGTATTACATAAAAATATCGTAATAATATGGAAAAAAAATTATAATTGAACATATTTTATCTATACTTGGAACATATTTACACATACTTATTCATAAACGAGAACTAAAATTTACTTTATATTTAAACTGATGTTTAACTATGTATTAGTGTAGGTTTCTTAAACAATATTTTTATAATTCTTTTGTACATTAAAGTTTCGGAATTTACATAAGGTACTATAAACTATTCTTTAGAGATGCAACTATTCTTATAAAAGGAAGTTCCAAAGAAAAATAACTTTCATAAAACTGCAAATTTGGTCCTTGTGGTTTGCAAAAATCTTTGGATGGGATTCAAAAAGTTGTCAGCTTGCACAGAAGATCCAAAATCAAGGTTTTTCTATGTTTTTGATCCTAAACTTAAGAATTTTTTGTAGTTTTGGTCCATGGAGCACTTCAAATTGACTATTTTGCCCTTTAATTTTTTTTTTTGTATTTTTTACATTTTTATTTTATAAATATTAATGCATAAAAAAAAATTATATATATATATATATATCTCGTTCTACCAAACCCACCTGAGCCTTCCCCCTTCTCTCTCTTCCTCCTCCTCCCCTCCTTCGAAGTCCTCCTTTCTCTCTCTCATTTCTGCCCTTCTCACTGGAAAACACAACAATCGGAGTTACTACCTCCCCCAACACCACCTTACACCGTCACCACCCTAGCACCATTCCACCTCTGTCCCTTCCTGTTTCAGTGACCAAGCCTCAACTCAAACACCTGCATATTCCCTTTCAACTCAGTTAAGAACAAAACAAGAACACAAGAGAAAAACAACACAATAGCAACCGGAGTTACTGATGCCTCCAACGACACCACCACAGGAAAAAAAAAAAAAAAAAAAAAAGAACAGGGGAGGCTGCCGGAGCAGCCCCCAATCACACACCTGTCAACCACCGATTGCCTCATCTCAGCACCCACCGAGACTGACGACCACCCCTCGCACCCTCCTCTTCCATTCTGTCGAGCAACCCCACCGAGGACCCCGACTTCTTCGTTGTTGTTGCTCGTGACACTCCACTATTTCCTTTGTCCCTTTGGTTTCGTCAAACCACAGAGACGACCTCCCTCGTCGCCGATTGAACCTTTCCCGCTTCGCACATTACCATTGGAGCAGGAAGAAGCTTCACTGCTTTTTCTTTTCATTCCTTCGATCTGGCCAAACCCTAGAGGTCATCCCCTTTTCCTTTGTCGCTTCGTTCTCGTCTACCACCGAAACTCCGTCCCTTTGCCAGCAATTGATTGGCATCCATCAGACTAACAACGAGAGAGAGAGAGAGAGAGAGAGAGAGAGAGAGAGAGAGAGAGAGAGAGAGAGAGAGAGAGACAGAGAGATAGAGACAAAGACACACAAAGAGAGAGAGAGAGAGAGAGAGAGAGAGAGAGAGAGAAATAGAGAGAGAGAGAGGTATCGGTAATGGTGGAGTGGGTTCTTGGTTTTTTAATTTTATTTCATAAAGTATTAATATAAATAAGAAAAGAAAATACAAAACTAAAATTAAAAGGGTAAATAGGTAATTTCAATATTTTTTGGACCAAAAACCTAGAAAATTTTTGATTTCGGATATTCTGTGCAAGTTGAAAACCTTTTGGACCCCATCCAAAGATTTTTGCAAACCACAAGGATCAAATTTACAGTTTTGTCCTTTTGAAAACTACAAACCCATTAACGAAAGAAAAAAAAACTAAAATACTGGGCATGAATGCAAAATAAATAAATAATAAAAAATTTAAAATGGTGCTCTTATGATCTAGGTTTTCCAACAAACATCTAAGTGAGTTTTACAACAAACACAAAACTCGTAAAGATCTTTATCGTTTCATTCAAAAACAAATAAAAATTAATCGATGAAAATGCAAATGATGTATGAGCGGAAAGCAACAAGTGTTCCTAGTTGATGTCAAATGATATTGTCATAAACTATTGTCGATTGGTGATAAGTTTTGATTGAAGGGGTTGATTGATATGTATCTTACTGGATCATGTAAAAGGTTGTTGGGTCTTACTTTATTAGATTTAGACTATTTGATACCATAATTAGAAGTTTCTGATTGAATCATGTAGTCCTGATATGCTTCTTACAGAGTTTGATAGGAAGTTGGGCTTGATTCAATCATGGTTTGACTCAATCAGAATGACCCAATCAATAACTATTAAACAACTTTAAGACGTGTAAAGGAAGATGGGTTCCTTCCTTACTTAAGATCTAAGAAAGCTGCTTCATTTCTCCCCTGTCACGTATTAGTCAAGATCTATTAACATTTATGAAAATAGAAAACCTTTTGGATCGTTTGAAAATGTGTCTCAATAGTGACATATGAAGATTGTGTACAAGAGATAAATTGGATCTCTCGCTTGACGGCTTGAGAGAAAATCTATCTTATGTAGAGATAAACTCTAGGAGACCATAATGAGTAGAGAGTTATCCATCAATTATTTAACAATATAATATTAATATGTGATTGAGGTATAATAATTCCAAGCATTCGAACTATTTTGTTTGCTACGTATCAATGACTAACGGCCATATACCTTAAAAGAAACGGCCTATATATGTATTACATGTGATTTATGTTGTTTTTGGACGGCTGTGATTGTGATGCCCTATCATATTATCAAGGACCTCACAACATACTAAATAACCCCAAACTCATCGAATAACTTTCAACAGACAACCCTTTTGACGACTGCCTTGATCAATTTCTCTCGCTGTGACGTCGCTGTTCTTCAACTGTTCGCATCAAATCGAAAACAAATATTTGGTGTGGAAACGCATTTGAGATCGTATTTCGCCTAACAATTTATAACTTGTGGGAATCAATCATCCAATTTGAGTTCATTCTGATGGCATTAGTTATTTTGCATTGATCATTGCGATGGCTCATTGGCTCAAAGCTGCTGAAGGTATGATTCACTTTTTCCTTGCCCTAGTTCAATTCCTCAAGTAATTGAAGCTTAAATTGAAAGAAAAAAAACGAGATTGTATTGGGTTCGAAATACGGGAAATTCGTTTTTTTGCCGTTCTACTCAATCTAGATGTAAGTTAGGGAATGTTGGTTTCTAACTGATAATGGAGGGATTGCTGCTATATGAGATTATTATGCGATTGTTCATTGTGATTTGAAAGCTTAACCTATGTGGTTAGGGAAATAGGCGTTAGGTACTTAAGTTGAATATATATGGGATCTGGATCCTTGAGGTTAGTATGTGAACTGCACCTGAAGCTTTAATTTGGCATGATAAGTAGAGTTGTGAGGTGGGCACATCTTGTATAGAATCATCAATGTGCATGTGGCTTTCAAAGGTTTTCTTGCATTAACGTGGTATGTGCTGTAAGATTAACTACATATTGTACAAAATAAGATGCTTATTTAGTCTAAAGCATAAGCATCATATATGCTAAATTTTTTGCTACTTCTATTGTCCAAGCGATTTCATATAATTTCCTATTGGGTCGTGATAATGAAAATAACAATCAATGGGGTTAATTTGCCACACAAACTTGACACCTGGCAAAGCGAATGCTAAAGACAACCATTGATGCAATTTATTAGAAAAAAGCTCTAAAGAAAACTAAGTAATTTTATATATATATTCTGTTTTAATGCTCCATAATAGGATCAGGGGAAGATCCCATCTCTCCTTTTACAGTATGAGATTATTTTCCTGTCTAATGTGGCCTGACCTTCATGCCATGATGAAAGGCTAATCATAACACCTTTAGAAAATTCAGCTTTTGTCTCCTGTGAAATTCACATGGCACTTGTTTATCATTTTGCACTAGTATGATGTCAACTGAGTCTTGAAGTCCACTACAATTTTAAATGAAAGCTTTGACCTGTCTTTATTACTAGGGCCTGTTTTTCTATTGCTTCCTTTGACTTTCTTTATCTTCTGAACTCTTCTATCAGGCAATTAACTTTTATGCATTCAATGCATGACATATGTTGGTTTGGTTATGCTGCTGTTATCAAATCTATTGCCTATTGCCCTATTGTTTTTGACATTAGCTTTTTGGTCAGCAACATATAAATGTACATTTTGCCAGTGTTTGTTTTTTATTATTTGAGGACACATACACATATAATTACATTATAGTTGGGCAAGTATGGTAGATAACACACATGACTACTTTTCACATACATGAATCCATGAACTTGATATTTCTTGAAGACTCACAAAGCTTATGGTATGTGTTTCACAGATTTATTTGAAGTTGTAGATCGAAGAGCCAAACTTGTAGTTGGAGATGAGCTACCAAATTCTTCACAGTCACCAGGTTAGCAAGCTTCAATCTGCATTATGCTTTGACTTTCAAACATAATGTTTTTTGTTTTCAAATCCAATTTTCTTATATTAGCACCAAATCTGTATAAATTTGTTATTAAGAGTTGGTATTATACAACAGATGTTATGCATCCATGGTTTCCATATTATACAACAGTTATCTATTTGACTAATTTCTTCCTTAATCATGATTTTCACATTCAGCACCTTTAGCTTCCAATGGACAAGGATCTCGAGCAAAGAGTAAAAAGTCAAAAGCAAAGGTAACATAAAGCTTTATCGTGGTATTTATAAAATCTATGTGAGTATTCTTACCCTCAAATAATCCAAAACTAAATACACAATTTGCAGCCTAAAAAGGAAAAACCTTCTGATGAAACATCTATAGTTGATATTTCCATAAAGAAAACCAGCTCGCGTGCATCATTATCTAAAGCTTCATCTGATATAGATTTATCAACTGATAATGATGAGATTATTCATGTTCATT